CCCTCTGAGCTCCAACACTGAGGCAGTGGCTTGGGGGGATCCAGGGATGTATGGGGAGGAACTGGATTGTGTGGATTCAGGGCAAAAACTCCAGGGTGGATTTTTCCCAGACAGGGGTGCTCACAAGATTCATTGCTCTTATGCTGAGATCTCCCTGGTTTCAGAGCTGACTGGCAGAGATAATATCCGAGGCTCAATCAACCTGGCTCACACTGATCACTCAGCCCTGGTGATTCCCTGAGACTCCACACAATTTTCATCCCCACCCAAGCTGTATGCAATAGCTTTTCCATATGGATGGCCTGTCCTGGCTCAGGTTTCAGACTTTCTTAACCCTTTTAGTGCCAAACAATATCCTAGGAACTATGCTAAAATTACCAAGGCATTTTTGCTGATTTTACAGCAGTTTAGGAAAAAAATTATGAATCACAAGTAAATGAAGTTACATATTCAAAAACTTAAGGAAACCTTTACTACATTGACATATTTAGCAATATCATCATCACTAATAAAAGCAGACTTAGAACTGGACGCCATTTCGAAGCTTTGATAGCGCTCCCGGCACTTTTGGCGAAAGACAGGAGGAGCGCGATCGCGCTCCCCGGCACTCTACGGGTTAAAGTCTCTCAAACAAGTAGCAGCTGAAGCCAACATGCCCCCATATCTATCAGTAAGAGACCCAAGGCCTGGCACTAGCCTTGCTTTATAGCTTGGCCTCTCCTGGGAACTTCTAAGCGCAATACAAGTAGCAGCCATCTGCAGATATCTATGTAGCTCCTGCTGGGTAGCCTCAAGCAATGACTGACGTTGCAATTCCTGTGAGGCCACAGAGCCAGTTCACCCGGTGGACAGCTTCAGACTGTACCAAATTGCAACTCTATACATCCACAAGTGACAAATGCAAGGGGAAGACTCAGTGAGCACAAAAATCCCACTGAAGCAAGTCCTGCTACAAAGGGGTGTCTCCTACACAGTAGCTCTTCTGCTGTAGTTACAACTGGTCCTCTACCAATTCTGGGAGACATAGCAACTCTACTTAATACATAAAACAAACACAAGGAAGTAGCCAAAATGCAGAGACAGAAAAACATGTCACAAATGAGGGAACAGAAGAAATCTCTGGAAAAAGAACTAAATGAAATAGAAGCAAGCAAGTTACTAGATATAACTTGCTTATATCTAGTTCAAAACAATGGTTGTAAGAATGCTCAAGGATATTAATGAGAGCTTCAAGAGACTTAGTGAGAACATCAAAGACATGAAAAAGGACCAGTCAAAAATTAAGCATTCACTAACTGAAATAAAGAATAATTTACAGGGATTCAACAGTAGAGTAGAAGATGCTGAGAACCAAATCAACTATTTGGAATATGAGGAAAAAAAGACACCCAATCAGAAGAACAAAAAGAAAAAAAATTTCCAAAAATATGAAGATAGTGTAAGGAACCTCGGGGACAACCTCAAGGGTAGCAACATTCGCATTATAGTTGTGCCAGAAGGAGAAGAGAGATAGCAAGATATTGAAAACCTATTTGAAGAAATAATGACAGAAAACTTCCCCTAACTAAATGACAAAAAAACATGTGTCATTTAGTTACTGGAAGTACAGAGAGTCCCAAATGAGAGGAAACCAAATAGATCCATACCAAGACACATCATAATTAAAATGTCAAAAGTTAAAGACAAAGAGAGAATCTTAAAAGTAGCAAGAGAAAAGCAGTTACCTACAAGGGAGCACCCATATGACTGTCAGTTGATTTTTCAACAGAAACTTTGCAGGCTAGAAGGGAGTGGCAAGTAATAGTCAAAGTTATAAATAGCAAGGACCTACAACCAAGATTACTCTACCCAGCAAAGCTATCACTTAGAATTGAAGGTCAGATAAAGAGCTTCACAGCTAAGGAAAAGCTAAATTAGCTCATCACCACAAACCTGTATTACATGAAATGTTAAAGGGCATTCAAGAAGAAGAAGAAGAAGAAGAAGAAGAAGAAGAAGAAGAAGAAGAAGAAGGAGGAGGAGGACAGAAGCCGGGCTCACGGCTGGTGAGCACAGTGGCAGTGGCAGGAGCCTCTTCCGCTTCCGCGGCAGCACTAAGGATGTCCAACTGCCGGCAAGGGTTCCTGGACTGCAAGAGGATGCAGGCCGGGCTGAGGATCCCCCCACCCCCCCAAGTGCACGAATTTTGTGCACTGGGCCTCTGGTTCTTTAAGAAAAGGAAGAAGAAAAAGAAGAAGAAGGAGGAGAAGAAGAAATATGAACAATAAAATGGCAATAAATACATATCTATCAATAATCAAATCTAAAAATCAAAATAAATGAACAAGGAATCTAATAAACAAAATAAACTGATGGATACTAGCAAAATAGAACCAGAGATATGGAAACATGGAACATACTGATGCATCTCAGAGGGAAGGGAGGAAGAGGGGTAAGGGATTAACTAAATAACTTATATGCATATATGCATTACCTATGACAGACAATAGGGTGCTGAAGGCCTGGGGTGGGATGGAAACTGGGTGGAGGGGTAATGGGAGGAAAAAGAGGGATACTTATAATTTTATCAACAATAAAGATTTAAAAAAACCACTATATGAGGATGAAAGAAAGTGAAGGGATAGCCAAAGAACATATATGCATAACCCATAGACACAGACAACAGTATGATGATGGCCAGAGTGGAAGGGGGCGGGAGGGGGTGAGGGATGGGTGGAGGTAGTAAAAGGGGGGAGTTGGGGGAAATGGGACATCTGTTATAGTATAAACAATAAGTTTAAAAAATAAAATATTCAGGCTTTAAAAATGAATTGCCACAGCCCACTTTGCATAATGTCGATACTTGATAAATGTTTAGCAAAGGTAACTTTAAATCTAAGACTTTTTAGGAGCTACTTGAAATCAATAATTTTTGTGGAAATTGAGACTTGGGTGGTCTAGAAAGTCAGATATTGAGAAATATTATCCTATTTTGCTTTTTGTTTTGGTAGGTTTGCAAAATTTTACAGTATACATACCCTGAGAACTTGGAAAAAAGCAAAAGTCAACATAATTTTTCTCTGAATACAAATGTTTGTTTTACATAATAACTATGCCTTGAATAGCTGGATGGAAATTATTCTTTCTTTGTATTTATAGTTCAAAAAACACACACTTTACAGTTTGAATAGCAAGTAAAAAAAAAGAGCACATATAATTAGAGCAAATATTTATTAAGCACATCATTTAAAAAATAAACATTTTCTACACCTAGTTTATCAGAGAAATATCTTTCTATCTTTCAAAGAAGTTAAGGTTAATACAAGCTAGAGAATGTTCTCCCAAAGAAATAGAGCTCCTAGTGATTGTTCAATATGCTTTCAACATGTTAATGAAAGATTCACAGTAGAACTAAGTTGAAAGATGTTGCACAGAAAGCCTGAAATCACACGTTTAAAGCCAGTATTTTTTCTGATGTGGGAAGACGGTTTACATTTACTGAACACATGTGTCATTTAGCTACTGTGATGAAAAATCGACATATATTGGTATTGCTGACAGCTGAGTCAATGCTGAAGGAAAACTTGATTTTCACTATACCTGTCTAGCTCTTTAGAATTTTTTTAGTTCTACCTTAAGTTAAAGAGTAAATAGAGAAAAATATAAATTCACTGAGAAATGTAGCATAAATGTGTGCAAAGTTTTGTCTCACAGAATAAAAAAATATTCTGTGAAATGTATTCAACATGGATAAAATATCTACAATGTTCTTTAGATTCTTAGTGAATTACTTAAATACCTTCAGACCATCTGGATACTTGTGAATGTTTTCCTCAGTTTTATCAACCAGAAGTACTATGAACTCAACTGCATACATTTTCTTATCTTAAGTAATAGCTACTTGATTGACTTGATATATCCAACAATTCAAATGATTTTGGCCAAGACTTGATTACCATCAGCATTCTCTATCAACTCAGTCATTCCACAAACTACAATCTTGTGCTAATATTACATGACTAAGTCCAATTACATTCAACCACATTCTATTTCAGAGTACTCTTGGCAAGAAGTCCACACAGACAAAAGTCCACCTGAGGTACTAATGAAGTGACAAGATTATGCCCTTCAACTAAGAGATGTGGCCAGGGGATAGAGGAAAGTTACATACAATGTGTTGGCTTTTAATGCTACCCCTACCCCCACATACCTATTGTTGGCAAAAGCAGGTTATAAATTATTTACAAGCTTTGAATGATTATTGCCAGATCATAAGTTGAATTATTAATTCAGCCATAATTTATCTTTGGTTCTTATTTTATCAGAAAGAAGCTTTTTGTGTTTCTTTAAAAGTGAATATTTGAGGTGAAAATATAGGGAAATTAGAATCTCAAGCAGAACTGTGTTCATTACTAATAATTACTACCTAATGATTCTAAGATCTTCATATAGAAGATAGATGTGTTTTCATGTGGTTGTACATAGTTCATAGTTATTCTAATTTTGATAAGTGGATTTATTAAAAAATTCATTTCACATACTTGTTATAATAATAGAAATAATAAGAAAATACTTTTTCAATCTGGAAAGAAATTTTAGCTGTGGTGCCAAACAAACAAATGAACAAATAAGCAAATAAACCCGGCCTGATTATATGTTAAAATAATAAATTAAAACACTTGAAGTAAACAAAACAAAACAAAATGTAAATTGAACTAGCACTGCATGAAATTGAGACAAAAATTTCTGCTATAAGTGGATTTGAGCCAGAAATGTATTTTTAATGAAAAATTCAAGTAAAAAATCTTTTTTTGTCTGTCCTTGAATGTGTCTGCTAAGAAAGCCTTAGCCTTTATTTGCTTAAAACTAAAAGAAGCATCTTGAGATGTATTCTACTTCAAGTCCTAACCCTCTGACTCATGAGAAGTTCTCACAGATCTCAGGCAACTTAGCCCTCAGCTGCGGAGACCATGGACAGAGCTCGGCCTAAGGTACAGTAGTTGGTGGGACATCACACTTACCTGCTTGATTTGTGGTTACATTTACAGACACATACTGCCGGGCTCCTGGGCTCAAGTCGGACACTCCATTCACTGCCTCAATCTCAAAGGTATAGTTTGTGTGAGCGAGCAGATCCACCATCATGACAGAGGTGTTTTTCAGGCCGATTTGCTGGGGGAGGTACCTGACATGACCTCCACACTCGTCACACACACCTGCATGGGAGATGCACTTCTTGCATGCAATATAATATGACACATCTTTCCTTCCACCAGTGTCAGCAGGAGGAATCCATTCCAGAAAGACACTAGTTTCATTAACATTTGAGATGGCATTCCGAGGAGCGGAGGGGGGTCCTGGTTTGCAAAGTAAAGTGAGAAAAACATATTTTAAGATAGGCATCTTTACTACACATATCCCTGGTCTGAAGGAGAAAAAATAGATTTGCATTTATTTATTTTTTAAATAGGGAGAATCAAAGAGTCATCATTTGAAATAATCTTTGGAAAATCTTGTTATAGTTTTACAGGGACAATACTGGATTGTATACCCTGTAGAAATAATTTATCTTGGAATTGTTGTAACACTAGTTCGACTAAAGCAGATATTTTGCCTAGTGTGTATGTAAATAATTATGGTATATAACTATACATGCAAAAATAGAGTTAGATGAAAAAATATGTATATTTAAAAATGGCAAGTCTTTTATCAAATACCCCCTTAGAATTGAACTAATTACTTCCTTCTTAGGATTGAACTAATTACTTCCTCACTAAAATTGTCCCTAAAACCTAGGAAGCAAACAAGAGGGCTTACCAAGATTAAGCACAGGTACAAACTGGATTTTTCAATGTGACTCTTGAATGAAAATTCTGCAGCAAGTAAAAAATAGCCTTAGCTTACCTAAAAATAGATTGGCTATCTACTCATAATTCAACAACAGAATTTGAAACCTTCCTTCAACTTCAAGAAAACACTCGAATTTAAGTAGTTGGTCAATATTACAATATTATAATAAAGTTTTTTTAAATTTTTGATATTACTTTAAGATGATGGCTTTCTGCAAACTATGAATTTTACTTAATTGGGAAAATAAGTTTTATTTGTAAATTAATTCACAAAACTACAATGGGAAGAATAAAAGTATTCTTTAGATCTTGAGGGATTAGCAGAACAAATTTATCAATAAATAATAAATAGCACCTATTTGTATATTTACATATTTCTAAAACTAATTAGCACATTAAAGAGAACTAAAATTGATTACACATAATTACAACAAATGTATACCCCTCTGGTGGGGAGAGTTGATCATGGGGGAGGCTATGCATGTGTGTAGACAGGAACTATATGGCAGATCTTTGAATCCTTCTGAATTTTGCTATAAGCTAAAAATGGTCTAAATAAAAAAATCCTTTAAAAATTGATGGCATAATGTCTAATGTTATAGTTGATATACTTAGAGCTAAAATTTCAGTCAGCTGTTACTGTTATGTGATCATGAATCCTTCGAATTTTGCTATAAGCTAAAAATGGTCTAAATAAAAAAAATCCTTTAAAAATTGATGGCATAATGTCTAATGTTATAGTTGATATACTTAGAGCTAAAATTTCAGTCAGCTGTTACTGTTATGTGATCAGATGTTTTCAAAGAGAAAGTAGATTTATATTTGTTTCAGACTTGATTAGTAAAGATTTCCTGACAGGAAATAAAATAGACTATGGTGGTAGTTGAATGGTTCATAAGCAAAAATTAAGCAAATTTAAGATGACATAGTTATATTAATATGCATTGTCTGTTCTAAACATAGGGATTCATATTAGTTTCTACCTAAAATTTGTAAAGTCATTACTGCTAAGACCTAAATTTAAAAGTAATAGGAAAGTTACTTAATATATACAAAATATTATTTAAATTAAAGGAGTCTATAATCAAAGAGTTGCCCTTTTTGACAAAACAATCCCCAGCAACATTTATAGTTGAACCCTGTGAATTTTTCCATGTATACAGTTTTACACACTTGTATATAGAATCACTTTTAAATTGAAGCAAGTACTTAAGATGAACCTACAAGTATTATTTTTTACTATAACTTATTTAATATTTAATAATGAAAATTATGGAGAAAATGTAAGTAAAGATCAAATGTTTTAAGTTTCCTTCTAAGAAAGTGGTAAAAAAAAAACCTGAAATATATCTGTTCAGAAAGATACCAGACTTCTGGGATTTTTTTCCTGCCAACTAGAATGCACGCACATGTAACACCTTTTCTCTAAATCTGATTCTTCCTTTTCTTCTGACTCTGCTACTATCAGCCCCTCAATATTTGGGTGGGGGCTCATCTGAAACTCAAATTTAAAGTTAAAATGGGATTCAAATTTAAGTGAAGTCCTAAAGTAGAAGTAAAAAGTAGAAGCTCAGACAGATTTGCACCTAAAAAATACTGTAATGAAATTCCACTGGCCATTTATATATGCGATGTATGAACCAAAGTAGAACTGTGAGAAGTACCCTTGATTTAAGGAGATTCATTAGAATCTTTATTTTAGTTTGATTTTATTTTCCTCTAGGTTTATTACATTTTGTTTTCCAGATTATATATAAATAATATTAAAAGGAATTGAACCATAAATTTAACTCCAAAGAGCCAAAATTCTAGATTCTCATCTTAACATCAATCAAGCCATCTTCATATGTGGTCTTTGTGGTGGTATGAATGCAACTTAAAAGAGAACACACACACTCACAGAATATATATTTGTAAAACTGTCTACACAAGTCCCAACAGTCTTTTTGAGAAATGCATACAAATTAGTGTTGTTTTGAGACAGAGTTAGAATTTCGCACACCTGGAGACAGAGAAAATATGAAGCCTCAGGTCCTAAGTGCTAAGAAGCCCTCACCACCAGAGCACAGGGTCTCTTCACCCCACGCCATCTAACAAGTTTATAGAATGGAGGCTAACATTTTTGCTAAGAAGAAGAAAGATCATGGCTGGACCACTTAAAGAAAATAATAACTAGAAAATTATGATTTTTAAAAGTATCTCAAGACATGGTTTTCTCTCTCTAATTTACCATTCTGTTGTCTACCCAACAGTTTCCCTACTATTTGGGCTTTCTTTTGCTCTGAATAATCAAAATAACCTTCACTGCAACCAAAATGCACCACATTCAAACATAGTTTATATTTCTTCCATTAAAATTTAGTCTCCTAAAAGTGTATGGAATAATGCCATTTACTCATGTGAAGGGGAATAATTTATAATTAGTAATCACTTAACCCATAAAATTATCAGTCTGGTGATAAAAAGAATGATCTTTAGCAATGCAAAGCTAACCAATATCAATAATTTGAGGAACTATGAACATATGTTTCACTGCACTGAAATGCAGATAAAATTTCAGTTTGTGATTATTTAATTAAAGGTATGGTATGACTCTTTATATTTAATACTAATGAAACTAAGTTTCAAAAATCTGTCATTGTCTGTGAGAGAAGTTACAATGTAATGGAATCTAAAATACTTAAAACAAGGCAGGCCATGAAAATTAACTGTTATGAAGAGAAGGGATTCACTTTTCTTCTCTTTCATTTTTTTTTTTTAATTCGCTATAGAGAACATGAAAGTGAAAAACTAGAAAAGTATTGTCATGAAGCAAACAAATACATACATTTGTTTTCTTCCCAGAAATATATACGGAACACTAGAAAAACAAAATCACCAGAAACATTGATGGATGTGAATCCACCCACTGCTAATGTTGAAATTAGGTGTTTAATATTCATCAATCTAATTATATGGTTATCTGATCATATAATTAATAATAGTTAAGGACACTCACTCCTAAGAAACACTGCAACTGCTTGAAAATCCTAGCTAAATAATTTCTCTTATATTTGGCCCTTAAAACCGATTTCCCAACACCCAGTTAGTTATTCATGTCCTTGTAATATTCCCTGTCTTCTACTATAAATGACCTCATTGGCCTTTGCAGCTTAGTGGTGCCAGTTAGAACAAAAAGTGAAAGTGGCATCGACTGCATGTTTAGGTGGTTAGAAAGCTGGCTTGGAAGAAGAAGAAGAACATGTACCATGAACGGGGAAGTGGGTTGATCAAAGTCATGTTTGGCTGCCACTAAGGGAACTCACGAAATAAAAGGCAAAATTCTACGTCTGTGTCTTAGATGTCGACATTGAAATTCGGGAGAATGGATGCTTCTCACAGTGAGTGAGAAATGAGCCTCAACGTTTTCAATGCTTACGCAAGAAGACTGAAATGTGGTGAACAACTATACTGGAAGATTCAACGCTATTCCTGTTGTAGGGGAAACGGTAATAGAATGGAACAGGCTCCACCGTGCTCTTTCCTCAAACTGGTGAAAGTGAGCATCGCCAAATATCCGTGGGTTTCCTTACTTGTGCATGCCATTGTGGGTGGATCAGACTCCCTCCTGAAATAATCCTTTTCACAGACACAAGAGGTGGAAGCTTCCTCCTGGCTGTAACTGTGAGGTGGACATTTGCTGCAGCTCTGGTTGTGAGGTGAGGCTTTGAAGAACCCAGGTCTGCACACTGTCAAAAGAAATAAGAGACTAAGCTTTTCCCTGGAACAGATGCAGGGTTTGTTTTGTGAATCATGTCATTATTTTGACGACTATACACAGGTTACATATAGCACAATCTTTGCAGTAATTTTAATTTTTTAATAAGTTTCTGAATAATAAACACCAGGCTATTCATTCAGAGAATCAAATATGTACGTTAAGTCTTTAAATTAAACATGTCTGAAATGTTTTATATATTTAATGATTTTTTTTATGCTACAGGAGCTTATAAGAAATTATAACGGGCAGTAAATACTTGTTTGCATTTAAAACTGAAGCAGTGCTTTGAATATAATTTTTATTTCCTCTATTAATATATCACATGTTAAAGAAATGCAAATTTGCCACTACGCTCATAAAATGGTATGGTACACAGTAGGTGCTCAAAATTTTTTTTATTTAATTAATTAATTAATCAATAAAAATTGATTGTGTTTTAAAATTCTGTTAGATTGGGGAGGATGCATGAATGAGTTGGTGCATTATTCACATTACGTTGCTTTCTGGAGGAGGTAGATTTTAGGCATTTGTTTTACCTTTAACTCCATTTTAAAATTTTCTTTTTCAGTTCAACATGCAGCTATTCTAATATCGGTCATGCTTATACAAATTATGATGATCTATAAAAGGTAGAAAATGTGTTTCATTCACAATACTTATCACAGTGTTTGACCACAGTAGGTGTTCATAAATTGTTATATAATGCATAAATGAATGACTGGAATGGCATAAAGATTGAATTATTTAGAATCACATAAAGATAATGTTCCCTGATATTTTTGTTGACATTTCTAAGTTGGTGGTCAGGTAAATAAGTGCTAATGAAGTAAATCTTTTCATTCTGTGCATTCCCTAAACTTGTGTGTTTTTCTTCTTTCTCAGTGGCTAATAAAGTCAAATTTCAATATTCCAGCTGCCCAGTGTGAGCCATTTGAAGACCAACAGATACCAAGCTCATGGTTTGGTTATTTGTTATGGTTTAGTTTACTTAAGCTAAAAACCATCTATATTTTTCTATTATTAAAATTAACTGTAAACATATACATATACATATACATATATTTAAAAGCTTTTATTCATGAATAATGACCATTTGTTAAGCTCAAAGGCAAACTTGCATTTCAATAAAAAATGTTGATAGACATAACTAATTGGGGCTAAGTAGCATGTGCCATAATTGATCTGGGATTTTAGTAATCCATGCTAAGGTGTTCTGCCACCACTGAATAATCAGGACCTGACAAAAATAAGAAGGTACTTTTTCCATTAGGTCTAATTATAGTGATAGTAAAGTCTTAATGCTCTTATAAATTCAGAGAGAATGTGAAGGTATTGGAAAGATAAGAGCTTTTTGATAGTATTAAGGGCATTCTTGTAGTTAAGTGATTAGGAGAAGATTTAAAATATTATTTTTCTTATAATAGGATTGCTGTAGCAGCCAGTACTATCCTTAGGTAAGTTATCCAATTTTCCTCTTTTATCCTTTTATACCCACTTTAAACACTATTTGCTTTCAAAGACATGAAGTGCCAATCCACTTGTTGTGCAAATTTGAAATTTACTTATCATTCATTAAACAAAAGCCATTTTTATTTTTAATGAGTGCTTTTTAACTTAATAACTTTATATGATATGTGTAAAACCGCTGTTCAAACCTCCATGGGAACTTTAGGAAATAATATAAATGTGACTAAAATGTTGATAAATATATCTTTCTGTTCAATAGTCTAACAAAATTCTTTCAGCATGTGTGGTAAGAAGACATTTTTTCTTGGTACTGGGGTACAGAAGTAAACAAGATAGAAATAGGCCTGACTTTATGAGTTTTAAAGGTATTTCATAAGTAATTATACATATGATAACACTAGGAATGAGAGCTATGAGAGTGAACATCAACACCTAGTTTAGACTGGGATGTCAACGAAGACTTTTCCATGGAAGCTGAATCTCTGCTGAGTTGTAAAAGATTAGTAATATTATCCAATTAGAATAGGAGTATTGCAGTATAGAGGGGGAAATCCTTCCATAGGACCAAAAGAAGTGGCGAATAAACAGGGAGATGAAGGAAGTTAAAGAATTGATCAGGCAGATAATAGGAATCAAGTGACGGAGTTAAAGTCAGACAGGAAAGGAGACACCAGGTTATAAACACCTTACAGTTGTGACTTGGGATTTTCATGAATGAATAAAAATGAGCAGGGGAATAATAAGATCAAAGTGGTGTTAAGGAGACCATTTCACAGAAGTATGGGGAACAGATTGGAGAGGAGCATAGATAGAGGCAACTGGCCATTTTGTTTCTATTGCATTGATCCAAAAAAGGGCTCTGTTGCATGACAAGAGTGGTTCTAGTGACCAGAGATAAAAGTGAATTCAGGAGGGAAGTATGAAGTGAAATAAACAAGATTTCATGGTGTATTTAATGGGTCAGATAAATGAGGAAGAAATCTCATGACTCCAAAGTAGTTGGCTTAAACTGCACAGAAAAAAGTGGTGCCATTTTCTCATAGAAAACACTAGATATAAAATGTTTGTGGGGAAGGAAATGATTATGTTTAAAGAATTGTTTAATTTGAGGTTAGCTGAAGAAATCCAAGTATTTTTATAGAGAGCAAAACTGTGGAGTTCAATGCAATCCAATACAAAATATGACAAAACCATAATTTTTAATTGCATTCCAATCATGGTCCCAAATCCAAATGGGATATATGATGCTTCTAGACAATCTTAGTATAACTTTCTTCATTAACTTCAGTTCCTAGCCTCAACATGATTATTAACTTCAGTTAATTTTAGCTCCTAGTATCAACGTGATTATTTAGTAACTTCACCTCTTTCTTCTAAATCCTTATAACCTCTGTTCCTTTGTGACGCCTAGTTGGTATACTTGCCTGTGTGCTGAGAAAACAGAAGGCATAAGAGATGAACTTCATTATTTTTCTACCACCAAATCTCCAAACATATATACACTTATACCTACCCTCTTTATCTCTCTTCCTGTTTAATCTTTGCTCCCATCTTTATTTGAACTTTAACTAGGAACCCCATATCTGTCATCTAGGTGTAATCTTCCACATCAAGTGTCTATTATATTTCTTGCATCCTCTCTCTCTCTTCTCTCTCTCCCCCTTCCTCTTTCCCGGGTGTAATCTTCCACATCAAGTGTCTATTATATTTTTTGCATCCTCTCTCTCTCTCTCTCTCTTCTCTCTCTCCCCCTTCCTCTTTCCCTCCCTCCCATATACACACCTAGTCAGTCAGTCATTAACATGAGCCCAATACAATTTTCCAAAACTTTGCAATGAAAACAAAGCGAAACAAAACAAAGAACAACAGCATAACTATCAATCTTACTTGATCTAAGTCTCCCTGTAGCTACCAAGAGCTTTGTTCTCCTTCAGAACACAATTTCTTAAATTATTTTCCATACATGTATCTCTAGCTCATTTTAAATCACACACTGACACACTCCACTCCTCTGAAAGTACTCAACTAAGACTGCTTTTGTTAAGATTAAAGTTAGTTCTCTGTTGTCATACTTCTCAGCAGCATTTGATCAAGTCTTGTTTTGTGAACAAAATTCTAATTTTACTACAAAATGCTAGCATAGCCTACATATGTCCACATACTATGTAAGAAAAGCCTCAAACGTGGTCTCCAACACTCACTATCTCCAGCCACACTAACCTCCTTGTAATGTCCTGCACTTGAGGAACTTCTCTATCTGCCTCTGAGTATTACAGGAAAAACATTTTGCACTCTTTCTGTCAAGCACTGTGGCAAGGACTGTTTGCATGGTGGTGAGAAAATAACAATTGTCCTCCACAGCCTGAAGATACAAGATATTTGGGTAGACAGGTAATAAACAAGTAATCATCAAAAGGAGCAAACATTGACTTTTTACATTTTAATCATAACAGGAGCAACATTGTTTAAGTGTGACACTTGCACATTACCTACATATTATTTGGAAAATACTATGCAAGTCTATTTAAGTTCAGCAAGCAGCAGGAGGAAAACTGCATGCTACATTGACATGTTTCATTAGACTATTTGGCATGGTCTGGAAGGAAGGACACTATTTTTAGTAATTGTTATTCTATGCATGCTTCCTGGCAAATTTTAAGTGCTACCTTGTACATGATGCTTGTGCTGAGCCACATGGTTACACATTTTTTCTTTTCATATCCTTTGGAACTTTGAATCATTTACTTAGTGTCTCTCTTTGCAGATAGCAAAATTCTGTCATAATTTTATGGGTATGAATTCTCATCTGCTCCCAACTCATATAAACATTCTGGACTATGGAGTCTGTTCATTGGATTTTCATCATATATAACATAGTCCCTTGTATTACGTACATGCTTATCAGCATTTATTGGTGAGAATAGTACATTTGTGTACTCAGGGTCTAAATGACATAGTAGAAACTTAACAAAAGCTGGCTAACATGAATTATAAATATTAAGTCCAGGCATGTAAAAAATAATATGTATTACATCTACATTTGCTACTTTAGTGGTGTTTCAGATACAACCATCACTCTAAGTCTCATATTTACTACTGTATTTAACAAACAAGAGTGTTAATGATATCTATTCAAATACAGTTCTTAAATCTAGCCAGAAAATGCATGTCATCAGTATGAAATTGAACAGAGGCTTTTACATTTGTTAAATTGTGGAAAGGTGCCGTATAATCTTATTGGGAACTTTTATTAAGTTCTGAAACCTATCATAAATGATTAAATTGACAATTTAAGATGTTTTTCACATTTTAAAATAGTCAATTAAATTACTTTTAATGTTTCAAAAATAGTTCACCCTTACAGATCCATCGCACTTGGAATGCCTAAGTGAATTAATCTGACAATTCAATGTCGACATTCCAGAAGCATGGTCACCAAGAAAATTAAAAAGCAAGGTAATGTAGAGAACATTGTTTCAGTAATTTAGAATTTTATAATTC